TAGGTTTTAGGGTTTACCTGTAGCCGAAAAGACCTAAATTTCAATAATAAGGAACCCTAAAAGGTAGGTTTTTTCGGTTACAGGTAGGGCTTAGGATACGTAGAATAGGGTTTCGAGGGGGATTCGAGATACAAATACATAAGGACTATCAGGGAATGCTACTACCAATAGTTCCGACCCGTATATGACTCTCGAAAATCCGGATCGGGAATTGCTTACTGCGATTTTGGGTCCACTTGTTACCCAACCCTAAACCCTAAACCCTAAACCCGAAACCCACCTGGGGATTTGGGGAACCCTTTTCTGAATCTGCGAAAGAAGCCCCGGGAGCCAAAGAGGCGTCGAAGAGGCTCATGTCAGGGTTTAGGGCGGGACCCTAAACTCTAAACCCTAAACCCTACCTGGACCCCAAAGAACCTACCTTTTTAGGGCTCCTTATAATGATTTCCCTATATCAGTCCTTCGAAAAGGTAGGTTCTTTGGGGTCTAGGTAAACCCTAAACCACCCTTCGAAGCCCCCAAAAAAGGCATCGAGGGTCTAAGTACACCCTGGTGGGTTGAACGCTTTTCTGTTAGGGTTCAGGGTTTCGGGGTTGCGGGGTTTGGGGCTTTGGTGGTTTATGGTTTTTTTCTGTTTAGGTTTAGGGTTTAGGGGTTTACGGGAAAGCTCGAAAATTGAGAGGACGCCGGAAAAAGCCTGGCGACTTGTCTGACACCTCATGCCAAACCGATGGCTGCCCAAACGGCTTCCAAGAAATCTTCCGGTACCCTAAGCCCCAAACCCTACAAGCGAATGAGCTCGACCAACTCCGATCGCTTTTCAATCCTCCCCGAAATTCCACTCGCCCACTGCTTAAGGCCCAAGGGACCCCGAAAGTTACGGTTTAAAGTAAGGGCTATAGTTGGGGCTTAGGATTTCAGGCTTGGGGTCTAGGGTACGTAGGAGGCAAGGCTCTAATGAAGATAACCCCGACCCTAAACCCTAAACCCTAAAAACCCTAAACCCTAAAAACCCTAAACCCTCAAATTAGAGCCCGACTTACTAAGCCTCCTGAGCCCCTTCAAGTCGTTCAACCAAGAATGCACTCTCTGCCCTGCACGCTCCGCTGCTGAGGAGGCATTGGGCTGGGTCTTCCTGAAGACGAAGGCTCCCCACTTCCTTCCCCTAAAAACCCAGGGTTTAGGGTTTAGGTAAACCCCAAAGCCTTTAGGGGTTTAGGGTTTAGGGTTTAGGATTAAGCTGGAGTAGGAGGGGAAATTATACCCAAGATTATTTTGATGGGTGTGTGTCTAAGGTCTCTGGTCAAGTATGGCTGGTTCTGGGGACACGAGCAATAAGAGCTATATTGCACAAAGGCTCGAACTTTTCGATACATCCTACTCGCTGTATGGGAGCTGCAGACTGACCCCTAAATCCTAAGCGGCGTTTAGGGTTTTGGGTCTAGGGCTTAGGGTTTTAGAGCGTGACACTGAAGCTTGCAGCCCCTAAACCCTAAATCGTGCGATCACCGCAGGAACCTCCGTTTCGGGAATCCCGAATTGCGACGGGCATGCGGATGCTGCAGTCGGGTCACCCTTCTCGGGGGAGCGGGGACAGGTGTGTAGTTCCAGCTCGTCTCTAGCGTTTGGGGTTTAGGGTTTAGGGGTGTAGGGTTTAAGGAACAGGATTTGGGGTGTAGCGGTTAGCGGCTAGCTTGAGGGTTAGGCGTCGAAATGATTGAATGTCCTGTACCTGAAGTATACCCTAAACCCAAAACCCAAAACCCTAAGCCCTAAACCCTTTATACTCCCTCAGACAGTCACCCTCCTCCCAAAGCAAAACCCCCCGTAAATGCACCAATCGGCGACGAATAGACTTTGCAGTTGAAAGCCTCTTCATAGGTTTAGGGTTCAGGGTTTAGGGTTTGGTTCTAGTTTCTTGTACAGACCCTAAACCCTGGGTACTGCCCCCATACAGTACCTACTAGTAACAGTCTTTCATAGAGCTACTTTTAAGGGCCATATATCCATGTTATGAATACTACTCAACTGTTACTGAGTGGGGCAGTATCCAACCTAAACCGTAAGCTAAACCCTAAACCCCTCAAACCCAAAACCCTAAAACCTGAACCCTAAACCCTAAGCCCTAAACCCCTAAACACTAAAGCCTAAAACCAGAACCCTCAACCCTAAGCTAAACCCTCTAGAGGGTCTCTCTTAGGGTCTGAGAATCAGAAGGTGGAGCCCTAAACCCTAAACCCTAACCCTCTCGCGTTCCAGGCCTGGGACCCTTTGGCCTTGGACTCCAAGACCTCTCGGCGCAGAACCTCTCGGATCCTGGGCTCTTTTAGGGTTTGGGATTTAGGGTCTAGGGTTTAGGGTTTTAGGGCTTCTTGTTTTGGGGACTTCTAGCTTAAGTTATAAGAGTCGGGATCTAAAAACTCTATATAATACATAACAGAAATTCTTGTTTAGGGGCTTGTACATTTGAGTTAACATAGAAGGGATCGATATGGTAAACAATAGGCTCTCTTGCCAAGGGACTTGTAGTTTAAGTTATCATAGTAGGGATTTATATATGAAACAATTCGGTTTCTGGCTAACGGACTTATAATTTCAGTGTCACCATGGGAGGGATCTACAGTAAATAATACGGTTTCATGATTGTCGTTGACATAGTCGGGATCTATAGTAAACAATAGGGTTTGCTGAGTATGGTAATGTTAACGTAAAGTTCCTGAACAACAAGAACCCAGGATCCGGGCCGGTGTGTAGGTAGCCAGCAGCCGAGCCTTGCAGCAAAGTGAGACGTCCAAAGACCCGCGCAAAACTAAAACAAGCCTCCTGAACCCTAAACCCAGACCCTATAAGCCCCAAACCCTAAACCCTAAACCCAAAAAGCCCTAACCCTAAACCCTGAACCCTAACTCCTAAACCCCAAAAAAACCCTCTAAACACTCCGTGACTCTGCCTTGAGCTGATCGGCCCGCAAGCCGCTGTCCATGGTCAAGTAGGTCAGTCGATGTGGGTCCTCTCGCGGCTTCGGCTTCGGCTGAAGCTTCTTCGGGTTTAGGGTTCAGGGTTTAGGTTAGGGTTTAGGGTTCGGCTGAGGGCTTCTTAGGGTTGCGTGCGTTACTTGTTTTCAGAGGGGAGAGCCTCAAGGATGCAACTTCAGAAAACTGCAAAGCTTGTGTACCTAGAAGCAGGCTTTGAAGCACTTCAAAAGATCCTGGCGTGCGGTGAGCTGCTCAGCCAGGCCGAAGTGGACGCTAGCATAGAAGTGGCTCTCGAAATGCATGTCTGCTGCGCTCTGGAGAGCCCCCTTGGTGGAGTGGAGTACTCCCTCCGCCATCTGCCGGCGTTCGTTATAAAGGACGCGTAGGATGGAATCCTCTGCGTCCAAGGCATCGTCGCATGTTGCGTCTCCGGTGACCATGTCGTGCATGTTGTGAATCTCCCGTTCCCAGCGGTAGATGCAGTCATCCACACACTCCGCATACTGGCGCAGAACGGCCTCCAGCACCTCTGGGTGATTTTTCAGAACCTAACAAGGATGACTCGTTCTTGGGGAGCTCCAGTTGTCAGCAAGGGAGACACAAAAACATAAAAAACTTACTTTGCGGCATGAAGCCATCACAGATCTGAACATCCTGCCCTAGCAGCCTTAGTCTCGTGGATCGCTGTTCACGCGCCCGTGATGATCAAGAACCGTTGCTCCAAGCCCTCAAACCCTGAAGACGTTGAGAGCTTAAGGTTTAGGGTTCAGGGCGCGAATCTCTAAGCCCCATGCCCTCGAGCCCTAAGCCTTAACCCTAAACCCTAAAACCCTAAACCGCCCTAAGCAGAACCTGCGGCTGATCTGTCTCCAGGTGGTCCAAAGTCTGATGGATCAAACAAGCCAGCTCGCGATATTTCTTCGACCTCACATGGAGCCACGGTTTGGGGTTGATGGGGTTTTAGGGGCTATTATAAGGCTTAGGGCTACAAGGGTTTATAGGGTTTAGGGTTTATAAGGTTGAGGGTTTAGTGCGAAATCTTCGAGAAGCAATCCGTTCGCAGCTTCCGCCAGCCCCCACCGAAGCCCGACATCAAGGTGTTCTCGCAAGGCATTCCCTCGGATTCCCGCGCACAGCCCTAAACCCCTAAACCCTTTAAACCTTACGCCAAAACGGCGCGCCTCTCCTGTGACGCCCTTGGCGCGCCCATGACGGAGTCGTTCTGGGCCTCAGCCCCAAATGGAAATTCCATCTCAGCCACGTCGGTAATATAAGGGCCTTAAACATATTATATACTATAACGTATCACAAGGAGCCCCCCCCAAAAAAAAAGTAGTGGTGACTATTTGAGCCCCTGCATTAAGTCGCAAGTGCTTCGGAAGCCTCCTCCCTGCACAGAGAGCCCAGCCCTTGCTTGTCTTAGGGCTTAGGGTTTAAAGTTTAGGGTGCGGCAAACCCTTAGCCCGACACCCCAAATTTCAATCTTTGAATCTTAAGACAACCAAACCCTCAAAAATCTAGACCGTTAAATTGTAAACCCTGAGTCTTAAGTTAACCAAACCCTCAAATCTAGACCCTAAATTGTAAACCCTGAATCTTAAGTTGACCAAACCCTAAAATCTAGACCGTTAAATTGCAACCGTGAATCTTAAGTTGACCAAACCCTAAAACCTACACCCTAAATTGTAAACCGTGAATCTTAAGTTGGCCAAACCCTAAAACCTAGACCGTTAAATCGTAAACACTGAATCTTAAGTTAACCAAACCCTCAAATCTAGACCGTTAAATTGTAGCCCTGAATCTTAATTCCTCCAAACCCTAAAGTCTAAACCCTAAACCCAGCCACGCTCGCCCGAACACCCGGCGTAACCCTCTGGCAGGATGCCAACTTCTGAAGGAGACGTTGTGCGCCCTCCAGAACTTTGCGAGGCAGTGCCGATGGCCTGCTCAGGCCATGAGGAGGGAGAAAAGGAGGGGAGGAGGGGGGAAAGACGAAATATATGGCAAGAATCGATATTGGTCTGGCAGTGGCAATAAGGACACGCACAGAAAATTAGATTGTTAGAAGCGCGTGCATTCCGTTGAAGCGAGGCGGTATGGAGATCAACGACACGAAACATTGAAATCAAAACAAGGTAGTGAAAATGGAATGAAATGAAACGACATGCAACGAGACAAAATGAAAACGAGAGAAAGGGAAAACTGAGTGGCAGCGACCTGAATGATAGCAATGCATCAACCTCATCCGCCAGGAAACCGCAACAGATTCCCATCCTAAACCTTGAACCATAAACCCTAGCTGCAAACCCACCTTGCGATGCGATGTACACGCTCCATCAAGAGCTCTGGACCACGCTGATCTTCACTGGTGATCCTCAGTCTCCAGCATTTACCAACATCGAGAGCCAAAAAGGATTCACCGCTTAGGATATGGTAAATCGGCGATTCGGAGTCCCTAAGCCCTAAAGGTTGTGATCCTCGGAAATTGGAAATGCCTCAAGCTTGGGGCGATAAAGCTAGGGGTCACGCCTGAAGACTAATTTTCTTGGCCATGGGTCAGCTTGCCCGAAGCCGCTAGCCTAGCCGAAGTGATGAGGTTCACTCTGGCTGATCCCCGCATGTTGCAGCTAAAGCGTCTCCTTCGCCGCCTTGAACACCTTCTGCTTCTCCTGCGACGCAACTTTCAGTCCTACCGGCGACTCAAACACTACACCCCAAACCCTGCCAGTAGTACATACCGAAGGGTCCTTAGAGACCTCATGGTTCAGCCATCCCAAGCTAACTTTGAGCCTCAAGCTTAAAGCGAATGTTGGTAGCTTCGGCCTGGGATTCAAGGCCTGGAGCTCAGGGCCCAGACTGTCAGCTGCTTCGATCCTCACATAATGGCGCCGCCAAGGAAGAGACGTTCGAAGCTTCCCTGCCCTAAGTATTGCACCCCAAAACCGAGGTTCCTCTTATACGAGGCTCTACTACTGTAAGGGCCAGATTGTTATAAGGAACCCCCCCCAATAGTTTTGGTAATTATTTAGACTCTATATTAGACACAAGTTATTTGGTGGCCTCCCCGAAGCAAGGCAGCGACGCTAGAGTCTGAGTGCGCTGGGGAAGGTAGTGGGCGAACCCTTAAAGAGACATGCGGTGGTCTTCTTGGCTTGTCTCCGCTAGTTCCAAAACGATATTAGACCCAAGTGCTAGCGCAACATAGGAATTTAGGGTTTAGGGTTTAGGGTCAAAGCTCAGGAACGTGGCACGGAAGAGTTGAGGTCCTGTCCAGCGAGGGAAAGATGCGATGAATCCAGGGTCCTTGGCTGAGCGCATGATATATACGAATGATCGTCAAATTCTGAAACCCTTCCCCACCACTACGTGTGCTGCGTGCAGTAGCAGTCATAGTCGCGGTCGTCGTCGTATCGCCGCAGTCAGGGTCGTAGTCGTGGTCGAATCGCAGTGGTGCTGCTGCTGCTGCTGGTAAAAGTGCCCCGACCCCAGACACTGCAAACAAAGCTTTTAGGTCTGAGCCTGGACAGCCCCCGAGCCGAGGTGCAGGAAGGACTCGCTGTCACCGAGCGCAGCCCAGAGTCGGTAGAAGGCATTTTCGCTCAGCTCCTGCAGAGCACGATATCAGCTCGACTGGTACTGGAACTTGCCAGAAGAAACAAAGTAGACTGGTTCTGATAAGTACTGTATCGCAACGGCACGACCGACGACGAGACAACCTGCAATTGCCAGGCGAACGGCGCGGGTACTGCTTCGGTGCTGCTGGGAACCTGTCGCCGGCGGTACTTGTGGTGCTGCTGGGAGGGTGGCGGCAGCGGTAAGGCGGGGTGGCGGTGGTGTGTGGCGATAGCCTGGTGGTGGCGAGAGCGGTTGTTTGGCGGTGGCGGCGGTGGTGGTGGCAATGGAGCCCGTGGCGCTCGTGGCATTCCGATTGCTCGTGGCACTCGGGGTGCTCGTTTTGGTCCACAATACGACGAATAAGGCCAGTGCGACTAAGACCCTCCGAAGCTGTACGAAAATGTAGATCCGAAGGACCTTCCAGCTTTGAAGTCAAGGTTCAACCCGGTTTTGAGGTCTGAAGACAACCCCTGCGTTTCTACCGCTCAGCCCCAATATCATTTAACCCAAAGTCCATGCCATAGACCCTAATACAGGGCCCTGAACCACCTATTTTTCTGGAGACTTCAATTAGGAAACCATAATACAGGAACACCTTTGACTCCCCCATGGGTGGCCCACACCCGAGCTCTGTGTATGGAGCATTGAGGCTCGTACTACTTCGGAGGTGTCTTCGTCGATGACACTGCGGCATCTTACGACTTACGGTTGTACCTTCTGCGAAGTGTCCCTGTTAGCTCAAGCCGATACAGTATCACAGTATCACTGTTAAAGGGCCCCTAAACCCCAAAGCCTACATCCAACCCAAAATCCCTAAACCTCTCTGATATAGGCGCCTTCACACATGAGAATAGGGTTGTGGGGTGTATTCCTGACCAGAATCAACATGAAGGGACTATAGGACAATACTCCTATCAAGTTTTCCGACCCCTGAAAACCCGCCTTCACCGTCCACTCGCTTTCCTGGAAGTCCACCTCATCCCCTGGGAAGATGCTCTGGAGCGCCACGCGTAGGCAAGCGGCGAGGTCGAAGGGCATGGCTCCTTGCTCCTCTCCCTGGTTCTTAGTAGGGAGTGGGGGAATGGGTTGTTGGGACTACTATAGGGGACCTTAAGGGACTGTCATAGGGATCCATTCCCCCATTCCCTACTAAGAACCAGGGAGTCTTTTCTGGGTCCTTCTTAAGTGAAGTCAGCTTAGTAACCATGATAGGATCGTCTGTTTCTGGGCTCCTGCTGAAGCACTTAAGGTGACGTACCATACTAGTCAGCATCTACAATAAAAACGAAAGTCGGATTCCCCCCACTATGGTAACTTTGCTTAATAACACCTCTTAGCCGCCTTTTTTCAGGCCCTCTCGGGCTTCCAGCGCTTCAGGCTTTCAAGACCCCTTGGTTTAGGGTTTTGGGGGTTCGGGTTTAGGATCTAGGATTTAGGCTTCAGGGTGTAGGGTTCAGGATTTTAGGCTTCAGGGTTTAGGGATGCTTGGGGTGCAGGGTTTAGGGCTAGGGTTTGAGAGTGGCTTTCCTGGCTTGGGCGACGAGGCGCTGGGCGCTGCACCATGAAGCCCATGGTCCCCCAAAGCACTCTCTTGAGGGTTTGCGTTGTTAGGATTTTCTTAGTCTCTTGAGGGTTTGAGTTGTTAGGGTTTAGGGGCAATTCAAGTCTTTTCGGCGTCAACTCCACATCACAAAGGCCTACTGAAATCACCCCCCAGACTCTCATTCGTCACCTCTCCTCTTGACCCCAAAAGCCGAATTCTGAAGCTCTCGGCTTGCCCACACCATTTTTCCTCCGACGGATCCGGAACAGAGTCCCAGGGCTGACTGGTTCAGCTGGGTCCCGGAGGCCCGAAACCCCAACCGAACCCCTGCCTCGTACCTTTCGAGACATCTTTGCTACGAGTCCAGGGAGCTGGTGATCACTGCCGTCACCGTCATCAAGGCCATCCCTGACATCTCAACCTTCACTGTCATCCTCCTTGCTAATTATCACGCGATCATGACCATGACCATGATACCCGTCCCAACTGCCCAATCACGCAATCTCCCCACCCACCCCCCAAAGCCTTCGATGCAGCCCCAAACCACAGCGTGCCGTCTGAAATCACCTGGTACAACCTGCTCCGCGCAGCTTCGAGGTCACAGAATTGCATAGCTTCGGATATGTGGGAAGCTTTCAGAAGTCCCTAAGCTGTGTGTTCTGAAGGTTCAGGATTTAGGGTTTAGGGTCTTGGAAAGCCAAAATTTCGGATCGGGTTGCTATGATGGTTGAAAGACTCATTCCTTATCTGCCTAGTTTTGCGGGCTCATATATCCATATGTACATATGTACATACATATATACATATATACATATATACATATATACATATATACATATATACATATATACATATATACATATATACATATATACATATATACATTTACATATACAGATACAGATACATATACATATATATATATATGTGCATACATACTCTCAGTAAAGCAGGCCCAGAGCCCAGCCCCTTGGCACACCAATCCTTCTGCTTCACCAGTAGTGCTGCCAGCAATGAATTTCTACGGTGATACTCGCCGTAATGACGATGTTCGTGGTAGCGCTGCTATTAGACCTAGTAACGGAGGAGTTACTACAAGTAGCTAGTTACTGTCATGAGTAGTACGGGTAGTCGTAGTAGTAGTAGTAGTAGTAGCAGCAGCAGCAGCAGCAGCAATGGTTTGGGCTCAGGACATGATGAGACCCTGATAACCTCCTCACCAGCTTCTCTCCACAGAACAATAGTAAGAGGAAGACGAAATTATCAATAACAACAGAGGAGCATGAAGTGTCGCTCTTTGTTGCAGGTTGGGATTGTGTACTTCAGCTAGGTGAGGGTCAATCGCAGGAAGAAGATGACGAGGTGGAGATTACAACCATTCCCCTGCCAACTCTCTCATCATCACAGCGACAAGAAGAAGAGGAGGCATGACATCCCGCTACTGGTAATGAGAATGCCTGACAAAGAAGTACCAGCCTGCTAAGAATCGGCGGAGACGTAGAGGACGACTCACCTCGCGAAGAGGCGCGCTCGCTGAGGCTTCGAGCTGATCTCTAGGGTTTAGGGTTTAGGGCTTAGAGATCGAATCCTTCAGATTTCTAGTAGAACGAATCCTTCAGATTTTGGGATCCATGGAAAAGAAGATAAAATAAACCCCTAAACCCTAAAAACCCCTAAACCCTAAACCCTAAACAAAACAAAAGCTGGGTTTTGATAGGATGGCGGCTTCAGAAACTTCAGCCAGAGGTCCGACCTTCAGCCCTAGAACCTGGGTCCTGAACCCTCCACACTCCACACGACGGCTGATGATGATGTTTAGGGCTTTTAGGGGTTTTAGGGTTTAGGGCTTTAGGGTTTACGGCTTAGGGTTGAATACTGTTGATGATCTAAATCCTTAGCATTACCTTAAGGACCCTAAACTGTGGGAATTATGGTAGGTTCCTTAATATAGGTAATGCAGGATTTATATCATCAACCGTAGGTCATATAGGGGCCGTTACAATTAGGATCGGGGCTTGGGGTATGTTATACTACAACTATATATAATAAGGAACCTAAGGAATAATATTGGTAATCAAGTATTTAAGCCCCTTATACTAACCGCAACAAAAAACTCTAGCAGCCCCTTTGCAGTGAATTGGAGATCGTGCCTCCATAGATTCAGGTGACGGGTTCTGGAATCGGCATGCGAAGGTACGAAGGTTGCATACACACTGCAGGGTTTGGCAGCCTCCTAAGCTCTCTTGCGTTTTGGGCTCCCAACCACCGTCATTCTAGTATAATATGGTACATTATAGTTTCTGATATGATAGTATATGATAGTAGCTATTAGCCCTCTCCGGCTGCATCTGGCCTTGCTCAAACTTTTGCCTCGCGATGAGGCGGCGCATGAACCAACCTGGCAGCACGGCGAGGGAATAACCGGTAACCTGCAACCCTGCAGCCCTGGAAACCAAGCCCGAACCCCTGAATGCCAGACCCGACCGATATCGGAGAACAAGATATTGTGGCAGCAGATAAGAGACTCGTCGTCGACATGGTCATCATCGAGATATCAAGACTTACTTCGTGTTAGTCAGTCAATCGGCTTCGCTGTCATCAGTCACATTACGTCGCCGCTGTCGTGGAAGCCACAACCGCACCGCCAGCGGCATTCTCATCGTCATCGTCATAATATTCCTCTTCATCTTCTTCATCATCACCTACAGCATCACCATTGCCGAAAGCATTTGCAGCAAGGGGTGAACAACAACAACAACAACATCAACAACAACAACAACAACCACGACGACGACGACAACAACAACAACCACAACCAACCAACCAACCAACCAACCAACCAACCAACCAACCAACCAACAACCACAACCACAACAAACAACAACAACAACAACCACAACAACAACAACCACAACCACAACAACAACAACCACAACAACAACCAACCACCACCACCAC